ATTACAATACATCTTCAATAAAATTTTAAAAGTATTAATACCAAAAACAACGGAGTTATGCCACTTTTTAAAATGCTCTATCCATATGTATGATTTGATTTGTATAATGTTTTTTGCTTCTCCTGCCTTTGTGAATTAAGGTGACGATATGTATATATATATCAAAAGAATTTTATAAGGGTATAGATTTTGGTGTCAAAACTTGTACAAACTTGTACAAAAAGACACCTTTTTTTTGGGAAGTACATTTAAATGAAAACTGATTTAGTAAGAAAAAGAAATAATTTCAATTGAATTAATCACTTTCGTAATGAACGTTTGGGGTGTGAGATTTAGTCAGTTAGGCTGAGATAAGACTATAAATTCACGTTTTGTAAATAAGTTTTGGTGAATGGAAAAATTCTGTATCTTTTTTTCAGCAATAAGTGCCGTTATATGAATTTAGGGCGAGGTTATTTGAGTACTAAAATAAATAGTTGCATTTATGTCAAGTTCTCATCACTTTCACATTTAAATTTTTTTTTCTGCTATGTACCTATGTATGCACATATGTAGGTATTGTCTATATGAATTATGAATATTTTTGACGGCATGTACCTAAGCTAAGTAAATAGTTTGTGTGTATCCGTGTGAGTTTGATTGACTTGAAATAAATAGTGCATATGCCTAAGAGATTTGATGAGATTATGTGGGCGTATGCACATACATGCATGCATACACACAAACATTTATATATATATATATATATATATATATATATATATATACCTATGTACATTTGCATACTCGTGTGAACACAATATGTATGAATGTTTGTATGCATCCATGTAGTAGTATGTAGGTATATGCGCGAGCAAGAGAGCCTCTTATATTTTCTGAAATTCTACACTTATCATAAGTAGTAAGTATTTAGGTATATGTATGTATTCTATTACTTTCGTAATTTCATGTTTGATCGCAGTATTTGTTAAAATTATTTTTTAAGACTTTTTATTAGTTTTTTTTCATTTTGAATATTTTGAATGCATTTTCTTCTAAATTTCCTTAGAATTAATGCTGAATTTTTTGAGTGTTCTTTGTTTTTTGTTTGTAAATAAATAAACTAAAGTTAATAAATAATGTGAAAACAATAAAATAATATTAAGTGGTAATATTAATGGTAATAAGAAAACTAAACAAAACAACAAAAGAGCAGTAGAAGTAAGAGGAACAGAATAAGAATACAACATTGGAAAAATATTATTAAATAAAATAAACCTTCTATAGCACCTTTGTTTAACTTATCAAAAAACCGATATGATTTTTTTAATAAAAGATTTTTTTTTAGTAGTACATATTTCATATAGTGATAGGCATAATGAGAAGGTCACACACATATTGATAATTATTTATTTTTAGTTTTTTTTTAAGTTAATAGTTCATTCCATAACGAAAACCAACTAAATTCAAGTTTCAAACTTTGTGCAAAATTTTAAGAAATTCACCAAAATATCAAATTTTTTTTTCAGAAATTTTAAAAAAATTGCAGTCTCATAGCGCACTCAAATGCTTACAAATTATCGTTGACATAAAAAACAAAAGTTTTTTTTGTGACGGTGTTGAGCATTTTTTTTCATATAGCGAATGTTCGCCTTAGGAAGAAAATGCGCAACACTGTCAACAAAAAAATTTTGTCAAACCCAACGGCGCTTTGTTATACTAGACCTGTCGTAAAAGTTTTAGATTCTAAATAAAAAGCGGAAAATTTTGATGAAAAATTTATGAGTTTTTTTAAAACTTTGCAAAGTGCTACAATCTTGGATTTAGATGGTGTTTTTTATGGAATGAACTATATTTAAGAAAAAATAGTTATTATAATTAAATAATTTGAAAAAAAAAATATTAATTTAAAACTTTTCAATATGTAGGCGACCTTATCATTGTGTCTATCTCTATATATGAAAAGTAGCTTTTTCACTTGCTCACTTTTTTCTATACATTATTTTTACTTATTTGATTTTCTATTTTTGTTTTCGCTCGCATTTTGCATTTTATGAGTAGTTAAAATTTAACACCCAAATTCATAAAAAATAAAGACGACTTTAACTGCTTTATAAATCAAAAAATTGTATGAAAATGTCACTTTATAGAACTCTTTAAACCCATTTTATATTTTATGAATAAGGCCATTAATCTGTAAAATTTAAATTGGAGCATTTTAAAGAGCTTCTTTTTTTAGAATTAATTAAAGAGTATTAGTCATTGGAATGTGTTTTATAGTTATTATCGAAATTTAGTCGTTCTTGTGAATATTTGTATGTTTGTATGCTTGTATATATTTAAGTAGATTTGCTGTGGTGGACAAGATGCAAAAAAAATCACCCCAAATATGCTTCGAGGTGTCCTACTGTCAGTGCATATCTATTGCTCATGTACTAAATGACTGTCAGAACTAAAAAAATTACAGTTACGAGCTAATGATGCAGGAATAATTAACTCCTTTTATCATGTTTTATATTTTGTTAAAATTGCAAGCCCAAATCTTTTGTAGTTTCGACGTGAGAATAGAATGTGCGTTAGACCGTACCAGAAAAAAGTTCTGAGTCTGAAATATTTTTGCAAGGCAATTCGGAACTTTTTATATATTTTTTTAAATTGTTCGTCATACATATCTTCAGCATTTTAAAGTACAATAATATCCATGTTTTTGTCTCGGGGGGACAATTTTTCCCAAGTTCATTGACATCAGCTACCCCGTTCTTATCACCAGATCTAGTTCTTAACCACCAAATCTAAGTTTCTACCTAATGTACCACTCTAATGTCAGTAAATTAAAGCTCGGCAAAAATCATTGAACTTTTACCAAGAAGTACATATTTCGATTCGATGGCAATTTAGAGTTTTTGGCCTAACGTAGGCGTCACCTTTTTTAATTAACCGACTTCCAAAAAAGGAGGAGGTTATCAGCTCGTCGGAATATTTTTTTTTATGTATGTTACCGGATAACTTTGGACCACGTCAACCGATTTCGATGATTCTTTTTGCAACGGAAAGGTAGTGTCTCAGAGGTGGTCCCATACTAATTTGGATCTGATCATTGAATCATGAAATATATAGATATTTTTATATTTTTTTTAAGTCGGTTTTTTTTGCTAAAAATTACTTGTTTTTAGTCATATCTTCGGCATTTACAGTCGGAACTTAAAGTAAGATATGTATGTATATCGATGTTTTTGTCTCGAGCGGAAAATTTTTTTGTTCCAAAGTTAGGAACAAGTAGTAGCCCGTTCTGGTACTAACCCGCCAGATCCCAGTCCTTATCATCCTAACATACCACCCGAATACCAGTCAATTAGAGCTCTTCAAAAATTATGAAACTTTTGATTATTCAAGTAGAACTTTTTTTACTGTCGAATGTAGGTGCCACTGAAAAATGTAAAAAGGCAGTTACTAGGTTCGGGGGGAAAAAATAAAATCGTTCGAAATTGTCTGGCAAAATACTTTAGGACTCAGTACTGGGCGGCGACCTTTTGTTTTGCTTGCGAGATGGTACGGTCTAATGTGCCATTAAAATTTGGAACTTTTTGAGCTATTGGGTTTTGCCAGTCTTTTAGAGAATGAGCGATATCATCGTACATACATATGTATGTACATATGTATAGTACCGGACAAAAGTATTGGCACAGAGAACTTTTAGCAACATCTGCAAAGTTTTTTATTCTAATTTATTTTCAATAATTTTTTATAAAAATGTAGTTCGTCCTACACCAAAAAACATAAAAACTTTGTGCAAAACTCAGATAAATTCAGTAAATTTGCATACTAATTTGCAACTTTCTATTCTTATTTTTAAAAGAATTCTAGGTATGCAGTTTTATTGCCCATCTAATTTTAGCAAAAAAATTGCAAGTTTATAGTTGGTGAAAAATCGCCTTGATTTTTGACAATTTTATTTTCCCTCAGGTTCTTCCATACAAAGTGTGCTCGACAATTATTTTTTGTATAGAGAAAATGGGCAACACCTTCAACTAAAAAAATGCCAAAAATCAACGCGGTTTTTAGATACCTCAAACTTGCACTTTGTTATACTACAATTGAAAATAGAAAGTTGCAAATCAGTATGCAAATTCATTGCATTTTCCCGAGTTTTGAACAAAGTTGAAAGATTTTGCTTTATTTTTTTTGGTGAAGTACGCACTGTATTTTTATTAAAAAATATTGAAAATAAATAAGAATAAAAAAACTTTGCATATATTGCGAAAAATTCTCTGTGCCAATACTTTTGTCCGGCACTTATGTACATTTAAATAGTTTAGTTTTGTATTATTTTCTGTAAGTTTTTTGGTTTTGTTGAGAGAACTATCGAAAGATTTCTTTATATAAAGTTGCAGTTGCAGTTATATTTAACAACATAATACATAAATAAATATTTTTTAATGCATTTACTATGTTTGTTTTAGCAACATTTATGGTTTGTTTATAACTAATTTTTGGTTTATTGCATTTGAGTAAAAGTGTTAGTGTATTAGTGAATGGGTACGTGTGGGCTCGTGTTTGTGCGTGCTCTTGTTTGTGCATGCGTGTGTGTTTTTGTATGTATGTATGTGCATCAGTGTGGAAGCTAATGAGTATAAAGTTTGTTTTTGGTATATTTCGGAGTTAACTTGAAAACATTCGATTCGAATGACACTTCGTACATATGTATGTAGATATGTAGGCATGCATGTTTGTATTTATGTATATTCGCTTGCATTCGCTTGCGTCTCAAAACGCCAGAAAAACTAAGCGACATTTTTTTTTTATCTTTGCATCGTTATGTTTGCAAGTAGTTTTTTAACAGCTTAGCTTAGCTTTATATTTTCGGCTCATAAAAAAATATTAATTTAATTTTATCGAACAAAATGTTTAAGTGCATTGCCATCAATTTAAACCAATTTCGATGCTATAGAAAAGCCTATTTTAGCAATAATAACTTCCATAAAATTTCTTCTCGCCACATTCTTGTTCATTACTGTACGTACTGGGAGATATATTATTGACTTCCTTGCGGTCGCAGCGTTCGCCCATGAATCCTTCCGGACATCTGAAATGAAGATTTGGAGAAATATGGTTTGAGTTAGTAACAAATTCTTATCTATGTACATTTGTATGTATGTATCTCATTACTTTAAGCAATCAATTCTTGTAAATCTGCATATATATATGTATATCCAAAGGTTTCTAGGAAAAGACTCTAACGATTTTGATAGAACTCTGTATTTAGATAATATTTTTAATTTTAAGGGTATCTGGAGATATTTGTACAAATTGGCCACGTATTCGAAATTATTTATAATTATTAATTCTAAGAAGGCACAAAAGATGCACTAAAAAATGAAAGTTAAAAGACATTTCAAATAAAACAAACTACTATATACTATAGTTAGTAGATGAGTGTATGAAATTTCTTCGTGTTAGATAAGGTGCAAATTATTTAAATAAAACTTAACATGGTTACACCGTATAGTGTAACTACTACTACTTCTAAATGTAATTGAAAATTAATCGCCTTCAAAGCCGTTTTGGATGATACCCTTAGAGTAGTAATTCATTGAAATTAAATGAATTACATTTTTTGACAGGTGGCAAACCATCTCATGTTCCATATCCATATTGTTATAATTAATTTAACCTATTATGTATATACATCGAATTTAATTTTTAAACAGTGGCAGCCCTGTTATAAATAGTTTCAAACTATAACCTTATTAAACATTTCAGTCTGACACCAATTCCCTTGAATTAAAGTTGAATTTAATTTTTGAACAGATGGTATTCCTCCCACATGTTATTTACAAATAAAGCCTTTTCAAAACCATCTCGATTGATACCGATTGTAGGAATTTGTTTAACTTAATAGCATTTGATTTTTTAGCAGGTGGCAACCCTTTTTATGTTCTAACCTAGATATAAACCTTCTCCTCGGCGACACGAACACGTAGGTTGATACCTGATGTTTCTACAATCGGACTTCGATGCCATGGATTCTACCGTGGTCAAACTTCAGCAACTTGATTTTCGTTATTTTGGTCGAACACTTGGACGTCCTACCACTTTATTTACTTGATTTTAAACATTAACAGTTTTAAATATCGTAACACGTCGTTTCTAAACATTTTGAGTTCAAATTTTCGTAAAAATAATTTTGGCCGCCTAAATCGGTCAAATACCCCTATGTGCGCCGCACAGTGGAACATTTTTGACTGATTTTATTCAAACATACGTAGTAAATTTTTGACCAATCCATATAATATCTCTTTTTAGAAGCCTTTATTTAACTTGCTATGTATGTTTATATGTCAATAAGTATTTTTGTTAGGGGCAAATTTTGCGATAAATTTTTGACCAACTTCCCGGGGACCTAGACACTTGAAACTTTATAGTTCGTTCAGAACTAGACGGCAATGCAATACGAAGGGTAAGTTAATCCGATAGGTGGTACAGGAATTGATATATTTGAAAAACCCGTATTTATAGTCCGATTTGGTTCATATTAAAAACGTATATTAATTACATGAAAAGGAATAACTCCATTAAAATTTTTGCCGATAGGTGGCGCACGAGTCGATATATTTGGTTAACCAGAATTTATTGTCCAATTTAGTTCATATTTAGAACACTTGCTTTAAAAATATTTGTTATTTATTATTATAGTCTATGGACAATAAATTCTTAGAGACTATAGGAAGGTTAAAAAAGTATTTAATTTAGCTACTTAATTTAGGTAATTGAGTTTAAAATGTTCACAAATAATGACTTTGGTAGCGAAAAATCGATATCGATAGAATTAGAGATTATATTGAACTCATTAGGAGCTCGGCAGAGGGGCGCATTCCGAGCGTAATTCGTTTTACAATTACTACAATAAAACGTATGACAGAACCGAAGTGATCTTTGCGGAACATTAAAATGAATACGTTCTAAGAGGAAAGGACAGTCAACAGTTCCTTGAATAATGCCGAACACAAAAGTTAGGGAAAGGGCAGACCTCCTATTTTCCAGAGAATTTAAACTAATCAGTAATGAGCGATCACTATAGGAAGGAATCGGGTCAGAGGAACGTAAGGAGCGTAAAGCATATTTAAGGAACACCTTTTGAACGCGCTCGATCCTGTCAATCTTAGTTTGATGGGACGGACGCCAGATAAAAGCAGCATACTCCAGATGGGAGCGCACGAACGCAGTATATAACCGTTTTAAGATATATGGATTAGAGAGCTCAGCATTATTCCTCCTGACGAAGCCGAGCATAGCACATGATCTAGAAATTATGAAATCGATTTGGTCATTAAAGGAGAGCTTGGTGTCAAATATAACATCAAGGTCCTTAATTTCTCTGATAAGCTGCAGCGTGCTGCCTGAGATACGATACGAGGTAACAAACACATTTGGGGACTTAGAAAAATTTACATGAAAACATTTATTGATATTAAGGGAAAGGCGCGATTGGAGGCACCAAGCATGCAAGTTATCAAGCTCTGTTTGAAGTTTGAAATGGTCGACGTTTAACAGATAATTTGAAAAAGAGAAGCATGAACTAATGTCATTTATGAACAAAACAAAAAGCATTGGCCCGAGAATACTACCTTAAGGCACGCCCGAGGTCGCGAGGTAGACGAAAAATGGTCTACCGTAACAACGCATCGCCTGCAACACAAATACGACTTAAGCCGGTTTAAGAAGACAGAATGGAAACCTAGGCGTTCGAGTTTCGCGAAATTCTATGCGACACCTTGTCGAAAGCCTTCGAAAAGTCTGTGTAGATACAATCCACCTGATATGCATTAGAAAAGGCCGAAATACAATATTCACTAAAGACCACAAGATTTGAGACCGTGGAGCGCCCAGGTAAAAAACCATGTTGGTTTGGGCAAATAGGCTCTTGACCGAGAAATACATTTTATTCTTAACGATGCATTCGAACAGTTTAGACACGGTAGACAGTTTAGAAATCGGTCTATAGTTACTAATGTCGTTTTTGTTTCCGCTTTTGAAAATTGGGGTTATAGAGGCCAATTTCCAAGCATCTAAAATTACCCCAGTAGAAAGAGACTTTTTAAAGATAATTTTTATTGGAAGTGCTGAACAGTTTTTTAATAAAAGTGCGGATACTCCATTAATGTCAGTTCTTGCGGAAGTCTTCAGATCAACAACACCTTTCACTACATCATCGTATGAAAGGTATAGGGAACCAAAGCCAAATGAGGAACTAACAACGGTTGCAGGGCCAATATGAAGATTTGTGTCTAAATAACATTCGAAATTGGATTTGAAGAAATCAGCGAACAGGTTAGCAACATCAGCGGGAGTATCCGCAGATTTATTATTGAGGAAAACTGAGGAGGGAATAGTAGAACATGATTTTTTAGATTTAACAAAATTTCAGAAGGCATTGGGGTTAGATTTAATATTAAGTTCGAAATTAAGGACATAATTTTTGTGGAGAAACTTGTCAAGGCAGTTAAACTCTTTTAAAAACCGCTTGTACATTGAGTAGTAACTCGGACTATTGGTTGATTTTTACTTGTTGTAATACTTATTTCGCTGATTGTTGAGCTTCTTTAATCGAGAATTATACCAAGGTAGTTTATATGGCTTACTTTTGACGGTGGGAATGTTGGCAGAGCAAATGTCAAGCAAAACTGTCTTGAAGGTGTTAACCCTCTAGTAGGGCAATTTTTTTATGAGTTGAAAAATTCAGGAATGGGTGATTTTAGCACGAGAAATCCAAAAATGATGTCCATTTCGATCTGTGACAGTAAGTTTTTCCTACAGGGGAGAACAACCAAGACCGTCTCGCCGATATACTTTGACATATTTTCAGCTTTCTCTTATACAATGTTGACCTACGAACCGGCAATCCCGTCTGCAGACGGTCACAAATGCAATCTGGGTTTTTATATGTCGGCAAGCTGGTCTGTAGACGGTCTGTGTTTGAAAGCAATTTTCTCCATTTCGAATGGGGGCATAATTATCAAACTTATATCAAATACGGTGCTTTTAACTACGAAGTCCACTGAATTTTTTTATATCAAAAAAAATTTTTAAATAAAAAATTCTTTAATCACGAAATTACTAAATAGCAAGAAATAATTAATTTTAACCGCGTTTTCACAATCTGTAATTCAACTGACGATTAAAATAAAACGGATTGACATAACGGATTCAAATTTACTTCGCCGTAAGGGTACGATTTTTGTCTAAAGATCGTGCCTTACGGATATAGAAACAAATTATTATAGGTTCACACAAAAGGCGTTTAGTTAACGACCGCCTGGAGGCGGTTCAGCCTACTAGAGGGTTAAAGCAGTTGTCGGCATCCAAGTCGTCGAGCAAGTCGTACCAGTTCAGGTCTGCGAACGAATTGTTAATGCCTTCAAAGTCACAGCGAGCGTAATTGAAGGCAATATTATTAGTACCTATATATATATTTAGACACAATATTTAACTTCTCCTGGCTTGCGACATCTGGAGTCTTTTAATTGTATCTCCTTGATATGATGCCTACAACGAGGTTTATATCTAGACTAGGAATAGCTTTGCTACACTACCGCCGCGGCGCGCCGGCAGCTTTAACAATTTTATAGTGGTTTTACGTTCTTTGGCAAATTACGCTCTGTTAGCCATAAATCTTACTATTTTTTGACCGCCTTTGAATGAAGACCCCTGGACCATATGGAGATTTCATTTATATATTAAATTGCATTGTCATCGTGATTGGAACTATGCTGAAAATTTCAAGTCTCTAACTTGTCGGGAAGTTAGTTTAAAATCGATTGGAAATTTCCGCGATTTCCGCAGGATAACCAAGTTAAATAAAAGCTTATAAAAAAAAACATCGAACTAAAAGTACTGTTTTTCTTGGTGGCAAATTTCAGATAGTGCGCCATATTGAATCGGCTATTTTGAAATTCGCGGTTCTAACAAACCAAATCGGGTTCAACGACCTCAAAAGCGTTTTTACCACATTTAGGGGCGTTTTCTCAAATAACATTTAAAATTGATCTGGACACACCTTTTTGAGTGATGTCTCCGTGCGTGTTC